TTCCATCTGTGCTCAGTTACATTGGGTAAATGGGAGATAACGTGGTGATGGAAATAATTGTTTATGTAAGTATGCGCTGCTATAGTCTTTAGTTCTGTATGTATACGAAATCATATTCAGATTTAGAGGAAAATATTGAGCTGTAAGGTAGTACATACTCTGGAAGGATCTCTGTAGTTAGCTGTGTATTCTGAACAAGTAACTCTTATGCAGCAGTGCAGTTTAACTTTTCATTTATGTAGTCATAAAAGCTTAAAGAACGTACTTGATGATGTTTTCTGGAAAAACATAGGTACAATTTCTAATTTTTTTCCAAATTGCATTTTCTTCAAATTGCAGCTTGTGAATGAATGGCTAGTGCTGCACGGAGGTAGGTTATTCACACTTTCAGTACTTGAAATGGCATTAAAAGACAATGTTCTGATAGAAAATTTTTTTTCATTTAAATAATTGCTAGAACTGCCACAAGAAGGTGATACAGTTGTAAGCACGGAAAAGTAGTGTTCTGTTGGACTCTGAATAAGAGAAAATGCGTCAGTAAAACTAAAGTGACTTCTAACAGCAAGCTGCTATGAAAAATTAATACTTTTGAAGTAAGAATCTGTTATATCCACAGCTGCTGAGAAAAAGAGCTGGTTTGCTTCATATAAGCCGGGCATTCTTTATTGGGAATCAGTTCAATAACACCTAAAATTATAAAGTACAATTAAGTTTAGGGTATTGTGGTGTTTATTAAGTATTTCTGGCCTTATCGTTTGTTTGGGTGAAACTCATTTCCTTCTGATATTGTAGAATATACAATTATAAAGAACAACATTTACTGAGAGCAAACCAAACAAAAATATTATGAGGGATGTATGAGTGGCTAGTTATTGATTGATAAAGGGCATGCATGCTATCTTCAATATAACTTTTTGTGCAATAGCATATATTACTTAATGGTATACATTCCATGATAGGTGTTCTTTAGGAAGCTACTAACACGTCTGTATTTAATTTAATTAAATTTTTTGCTTTTTAATAATTTTTTTTAATCTTTAAAAATCTCTTCTCGGAGCAAACAGTGCTGTGAAAGAAACATTCAGTACCCTCTCCTGTGTCTAGTTGGGACCTGTGAGCTCAAGGTGTGATGAGATCAAATGGCAGGTAGTTTTTCATCAGATTTGTTTGGTGGTTTGTTGTTGTTTGTTTTTTTTTTTTTTTTTCTAAAGGGATGGTTTGTTGCTTGCCCTCCCTTCCCTCCTTCCTTCCATCTCTGACAGAAAATTTCACTTATTTTCTGGTTTTGTTTTCTGCTGGCTTAATGAAGTGAACGTACCCAAAAAAGGATGAGCCAGTTCTGGTGCAAAGGAGGGAATATGACTGAGCAGTCATGATTAGGTGGTAAAACCTATCTGTGTTTGTGGCAGTGAGCTGTTAGACGAGCTGGGCTGTCTCTGCTAATCTGACTTTCAAAATCCTTCTGGATTTCCTCACTAAAGTGCACTTTTCATAGTGTACAAATTATGTGCCTTTACAAAGGACTTCACAATTTGACAATATTTCACAGGTAAAGGTACAGTTAGATATTTAATGGCTTCTGTATATTGGTGTGGCTGGAAAAGAAAATAATTTCTTTTGGAAAGTTTTTACAGGATTGCCTTTTAAAATCATCAGTGCAGTATCTGTGCATCAGAAAAAGGAGAATGACATTTCTGAGCAATGTCTAATTAAGTATCCATCTGTGTAAATATCACAGCTTATTTTTCAGTGCTATATTCTCATTTGATAAGAAACTAGTCTTTCTCTAGCATCACCTTGAGATTACCTTTTCTAGTACTGGTACTAGAAAAGTGAGCGGCAAGAAAGGGAGTTCATCACTGTAGTCTCTTCCTCCCTCTGATCTGTACGTTTCTCAAGTAGAACTAAATTGGTACACTTTTTTCTTTCTTTTGAGACAAGGCTTTCCTTGGCATAGATAGTTTCCCCTGAACTGTCTGTATTCTTCCCTGCAGCAATATCATGTTTGAGTCATGACAGGTGTTTGGGGTTTTTTTTTCCACAGAGACAAATATCAAGTTCTTTTTTTATATACATACTAATACTCAAATTGTTGACTTTTTAAATAGCCAGTTCAAGGGGCTTGGAAAGTACAAACCTCATCAGAGCAAACGTTTTTTCCACACACACAAACACATGTCAATGTTGACTATACTTTTGTGAAGTTACCACTCCCTGTGCTACTTTATTATTGAAAATATAATTCATGGATCCCTGTGTGAGGTATCAAACCAGCATGGTTTGAGTAGTTAAAGTATGATCCTACTTAATAAAAAATCTTCTTAAGTCATTGAATTAGACTGTGAGCAAGATTGCAACATGTAGATGAAACATAATTTTTTCTGGCTGATAGTCCAGAGAGGTGGAAAGGCAAGTACAGGTATTTTTATAGTCCCTTTGGGAGCTGTGAAAAAAGAGTCTCTAGTTCACTTTGGCTACCCTTTGGCTTTGTGTCAAGCTCTATTCTTTGTGTTCCCCAGGCTAAAAGGATGAATAGTGCAGAAGCTGTTCTGCAGTTATTAGTATGAATATTTAAATAGATTTCTTTTGGCCAGACTAATATTCTTCTAGTATGTGTTTGAGCAACCAAATTTTTCCTTGCCATGTGTATTTCAAAACACTTAAAGATGAAAAGCTGGGAGTTAGACTAGCAGGTACAATACATATCCCACTGTGTATAATTCTTGGCCAGTCATTTAATCATCAAATCTGTGGTTTACTTACCTGTATAATAGGAGAATTATTTGATACTGTAGATTTGCAGATGAAATATGTAGAAATACTGATTTTTATTACAGTATTGGGATGTGTTTATGTCTCAACATGTGTATTCATCGTTTGGGTTTGTTGATGCTGTGCTGTGGCCTTGAAAATGAAATGATCCTTATGCAATATTTATTGCCTAAGTTCAATTACCATCTCCAGAAATTCTTCTTTGAAGTTGCTTTCAAGAGTTTTACTCAGTGCAAGTATTGGCAAACATTTTTCTTTATATATGTGTTCCTATATTTTACAATATGTATTTTATTCCTTTTTTTTTTTTTTTGAGTAAAATGTTGGTTTTACTGGTTTCTTTTCCCCTTTTCATATTTAGCAGACCTAGAGTTGTCATCTCCATCTTTCTTGTGTTGTCTGATATTAACTAGCTTTCTTTCCTTAACTGGTGTTTCTCTCCCATAAATATTTTCATAATTCCCTTGCATCATTCAGCATTTCATTCATTAGCCTAAAGGAAGCATGAACTCTATTTTAGTATTCTTTAAAAATTAACTTTCAAAGTGAGTTAGGGCAGACAGGACAACATTGAGCTTTTCACAGCACCTTTTAGAAGCAGAGAAGTAGCCTTATTCTGTGCTGCAGATGGAGGAGAGAAGCAGCATACATAGAATTACAGGTAGCTTGGGATGGATCAGGAAACTGAAGGAGGATTGTCAGGGTACAGAAAAATCTCTCTGAACCATCCATGCTTTCTGAGGCTACTCAAGTACTAATTGCCCTTGTCCGCAGAAATGCGTTTTTTAAAAAACAGTAGATTAAATCTTAACACTGCTTTTTCTTATCTACACTTTTTGAAGTGTCATAAATTTATCATTTACTATACTTCTAAACCCATGAACAATTTGTTCCATACCGTTCATCTGTAAGCAAATGTAATTGAAAGATCTTTATGTTGCATTCCAAGTGAAAATTTAGATGGATGGCAGAATGTGAATAATGAAGGTATGGTAAATATTTATCTCTAAAACAAAATTTCCCTGAAGGTGCTTCAGGTGCTTTTGGGTTGATAGCGTGCAAGTTATCAATCAGATAAATAGCTTAGTTTTTGTGTTCACACTGAAGTAATGCCATTTATTAAATTATAACTTGAAGTAAAATGTACGATACTGGTTGTGGGTGTATACTGTTTCTTACTTGAAGCTCATACTATTTGATGCTGTTTTCCTGGCGGATTGGAGAGAAACTAGGTCAGCCTGTAGGTTCTCATACAACCAGGACTTGTATGGGAGATGCTCAAGGAGCACTTGAATGGTATATTAGATACTCCTAAAAAGTCTTTACAGGACTCACCAGCATGGTGGTTCTCTACTGAGAACAAATCTGTATTACACATAGCTAAAGACCTTGCCTGTAGATGTCGTAAACCCCGTGTCCTTGACAATTTAGTATCACTTCATGGTGCTCCTTGTAAATACTTCTTTGTTATGTGAGATCTACTGGCAGAGTGGTTCCACTGGAAAAGGAAGGTGTTTGTAGTCGTGCTTTGTAATGTTCAGCAGCCGCTTGGTTTCTGCTCAAAGTGACTGGATTTCTTCTATGTCATGTTGGTACTGTAAGTTTGCAAGTTACCATAAAACCATTGTAATTTTATAAGGTTGAGATCCTGATCAACTGAAGTGGATTTCTTATAGATATGGAAACTGAACTATTTTCTGGTCTGTCCAGGTAGATGATTACCAAGTCTGGGAATTTTCAGGCTGGCATTGTTCGTAAGGGTGAAAATTCTCCATTAAAATATGTTTAAAGTTCTAGGTAAAGAAGTGTAGCACATTGCTTATATATTGATTTAAATTTTATAAAGTAAGAGTTTAGAAATAATTTTCTTTATTTTCAGATGTTTTGATTGTTCTCGAAGTGAATCACATTTAATGTGATTTCAATACCATCTTTCATGGGTGTGTAAAAGGAAGAATAGTTTGGTGTAACAGGATGAGTACACTAGGAAAAAGTAAATAATAAAGAAAACCAATACGATACTGAACCATGCTGTCTGTAATTGAAAGCCATGAGTTGTTTAGGTCATACTGTGAAGAGCAGGATTGAGTGAGTTATTTGGGTAAATTGTTCTTACTGTTCTGTTCTTGTGCAGGCTGCTGTATTGCTGAAGTCCATATCTAGTCCACCCAAGTCTTTCAGACCACGTGCTCCATGCTTTGAGACCAGGAGGACCTTGGTGTTCTGAAATGAAGATGGAGGCAGTGGGAAAAGCAGAAGAACTTGTTGATTCAGAAGTTCCACCAAAGACTTCTGAAAAGCAAGAGACTGCTCCTGATGAAGGTGGACCTATAGAACTCGAGACACAAACTCAGAAAGACAAAGTGCCCACTGCAGCAGACTCTGTGGTGCTCTCTTCCATGCCTTGCTTACTGATGGAACTGAGGCGAGACTCCTCGGAGTCTCAGCTAACATCTACAGAGAGCGATAAGCCAATGGGTGGTCGAGTTTACGAGAGTGACTCTTCTAATAATTGTATGCTTTCCCCTTCTTCCAGTGGGCATTTGGCTGACTCAGATACATTGTCTTCCACAGAAGAGAATGAGCCCTGTCAAGCTGAAGCTGCTGTAGAGGGAGACCCTTCTGCGGTGTCTGGGGCTGCAGTTGGGAGGAAATCCAGGCGATCCAGGTCTGAAAGTGAAACTTCAACGATGGCTGCCAAGAAAAACCGACAGTCTAGTGATAAGCAGAAAGGGATACCAGGTAGAGGATGTTTTTTAAACTGAACTGTATCGTTTCTCAGCTGTCATACTAAATTAGATGAGTGACACTTGAGGAAAAAACAGAACTGCAGCTCTGTGTAAGTTTGAAGACTGCAGTATATTAACAAGACATGGGCAAACTTTAAAAATCTGTTCTGAGCTTTCAGTGCACTTTTGCACACCAACAAAGCATAGAAATGTGAAATTGGAGGAAGGACTATCTTTGAATTCTGGAATTTTCAGATCTTTTCCTTTGTAAGTCTATATGAACTCCTATCAGTGCTGTCAGATCCCATTAGATGGTGATAATCTAATAAATACATTCTTAAGATAAGTGGCCAGCTTTGCTTTAATATATTAAGACCACAACTCAGCAGCAGTGGTAGAAATAACATGGCATACCTCTTGCCCGTGTTACAGTAAGGCCCTGTTCACTATTGCACTTACGCTTTACTTTCAGCTCTGCGTTTCAGTGCATGACAAACCTACTTAGCCTTATTGTAATTTCGCGCAGATTGCAGCTGGTCACCTATTTTAACATAAATATGAATTTGTTTACACAGGTGCCCAAGCTATATCCATACCTAATTTTTCAACATTTTAGACAAGGCTTTTACCCTTTTCCTGTGTCATAAGGATCTGTAATTTCTATACTTTTATTTTTCTGACACATCTGTGTTAAGATCGGAGGCAGCAAATTATAGGGGCCTTCTCATGATTTTATTAGCAAAAGATGAATTCTTCAAGTTTTTTGTCTGTTGAGTCTTTGTTATTTTATTGGCCTAAGTTCCATGGACAGGATTTTGTGTGAATGAATCTTGCAGCATATTATACCATAGAACCGTCATCATATGGCAATCAAAAATAAAATCACATAAAAATAAACTTTTTGGCTTGCCAATTTTTACTGGGTTACATGCCTTTTTGCCTCTTGTGCTAGAAGGTTGTTTCTTTTTTTGTGGAGATAAATATCAGCTTACATAGGGCAAGAACATTTAAAGGAAAACTGCAATAATTCGTCTTAAGTTGCTGAACTAATGTTTGCTAGATAAATTATTTAAAATATTTGCAGCAGATTTTACAAATAACTTTTAACTGACTTGATTATGGTGAATGATTCTATCGCCATGAGAACTGGCATTTTTTTCCCACATATTGCTAGGAAGCAGGTTGCACAAAGGAAGTTAATGTTTACTTTTAGAAAGTCTGGAAAAGGCATAATCCTTCTATAATTATTGTGTAGTAAAGTTTTAATGGAGATCTAAAATTATTTTTACCATCTTAGTAGTTAGTTAAACTTATAGCTTTCATAGTTTTGTGCCTTTTTATTTATTATGTTTACACCTTGCTGGGCAATTAAAGCCTATTGAAAAAGACTATGTCATTGAGTTTTGGGGCAGGTTCCTCCCCACCCCTAAAAAAACCCCCAAAACACACAATAAATCCCCCAGGTTATATTATTTTTTTAAGTCATAAAAGTACCTTGTGACCCAGAAAGGCACCACATGGTATTTTCACATCTGCCTTGATTTCTGACTTCCGTTGCAGAGATCTGAAACCACTCTAGGGTACTTTTTTTGTGTCACTAGGCTCTTTTGCATTTGAGCTCTCATTCCTAACCACGAGATGCTTTGCAGTGAAAAGGTCCCATTGTAGTGTACGAAATAATTTGATTATTTAGTGATGATTACACCAAGACCCGATTTTTACCTGTGATGCAAGATGTGGGAGTGCAAAAACCATTCTGAGGAACAATGACGTTTATTCTTATTTCATAGCATGTGTCATCTGCTTGATACTAAATTACATTTAAGACATTAAAAATTTTGAGATGTCCTTTTGGAATTAGGTGCAACGTGTACCTGCCACATTGAGGTTTTCCTTTAAATAGAAATTACTTTGGTTGGGGGGAAACAGTCTCTAAGTACAAGATAAAAATATTCTCTATAGAGATAAGGACAAGGTTGGCCAAAAATGCATCCTGTGCTACTTGTGGATTAATGAGACATTGTGGTCTTAACAGATGCAGTGGAGCTGTGAGGCTGAGTAGGACTCCCAGCTCTCCATTGCAGTGGTAGGTTCACATGCCACCTGCGATCCCTCTGCTTGGAACAGGCAAAGTGCTTAATTTAATTTTTTTCTTTTTTTTTTTTTTAACTAGAAAGCCATTTCAGTGCACTTAGCATTACACTGTGACTATCCTCAAAATTTAGGTAATGAACACGTAGTTAGAAAATAATTCAGGGTATCAAAAAGCATTACTGGAAATTCAGACCGTGAGTGTCCTCTGCATGCAGTCAAAAGCTAAGAGAAAACTTCAGGTTTCACCTGATACTAGAACTTGAGTGTCAAGAAACTACAATGCACCTGTCAGAAGGACATAAGCATGCAAAAACTTTTGCCTTCACTTTTGAAAAAGTCTGCACACATTGATGCAGAAGAGTTTTACAGGTAACGTGTGTTCCCCTTAGTCTTACTGTATTGGGACTCTGGCTGTAATGTTGGTTACTGTCTAAATGTAGCTTACTATTGGGATTGATTTTCAAATATCTACTGTCTGAAAAATAGCTTTGCCAACAGAGATGCTCTAAAATTTTTAGTTAATTTAATGTGGCTGTCGTGTACAAAAGCTGCACATACTCTGGCTCTTAACCTTCGGTTGACATATGTAGCATTACAGAAGACAGTTTGCTTGTGTGTGGCCTGAAAATTAAAGCGCCGCATTTGAAAATACAGTAGTCTTTCATGTTGTGTAACTAAACCTTTTCCATTTTAATAGTGCAGTTGTGTTTTGGTTGGTTTTGGTTTTGTTTTTTTTTTTTTTCGAATGTGACTGGTTCTGAAATATGTTTGGCTAAATTAGTCAGGTAAGGAAAACGTTCAATGAAATACAAAATAATGCCATGAACATGTGTAGTGTTATTAGCTTCATTTTGTGTGTGCACCCAAGTTGTGAACTCAGCAGTTGTGCAATTAAGAGTCAGTTCTCTCTGCTGAACTCAAATGTAATGTGGATTAAAATACTGGCAGGCTTGTTTTTCTTCTTAAGAAGAGTAAAGAGTTGATATCTTACTGGTGATACTTCAGTACAAATATTGTGAGCTCAGTAGGAGCAAAGCACAATATATATTATGTTATTCTGAATGCATTATATGGTGTTAACCTACACCTGAAAATACAGGTTCCATCTAAACTTCATGGGTGCTACTGGAAATCTTTTCACTGACCTGAGCAGTCATAACCTTGGACTCTTTAATTCGGGGAATGCCATGATTTTTTAATTATTGCAGATGAGGAGCAATTTCTTATCTTTTAATGATTGAGCCTCTCTGTTGCATTTAGGATTTTACCATTCTTAAACAAACAGCATTCAAGGCACAAGAGGATGATCTTTGAGACCTGAAATAGGTTTTTAAAAATTCAAATATTATATGAAAATATTGGCATTTCATCATCATTGTGCTTTCTACACCTCAAAAATCTGAATTGAAATAGGGGTGACTCATGTTTTAGGCTTTCAAAAAAAAAATCTGTTAAAAAGTTTGAGTATTGATGTTAAAAAAGGTGTTGCAGCTCGCATTTAAAAAAAAAAAAGAAAAAGAGTGTTTTTAATACATAGCAATCCAGAGAGGGAAACAATGTGTGTGAGGGACTCAGCTGGAGTCTTCCTCCTAAGAATTGTGCATAGACCTTGGGTGAAGCATCTTGCAAGGGGTGAATTTAGTTGAATGAAAATTATATAAGAACAAGAGAGGGGAAAAGAAAATCCGTTAAGAGTGATTTGCAGTAAGATACTCACTTGGAAATGTTGGGTAGCATAACGACATGGAGGAATCCACCATTGCTAATTACAATGAAGATGCAGCATGTCGTCTTAAATTGTTATGTTGTCAGACTTCCTAAATAAAATAACTTTGGATTTGGTTATTATTTAGATAGTACTTAATAGATCCCATAAAGAGACAGACACATTGGGGCATTTCTTAGGTGCTGTTTTGCAGGAGGTATTGTCTTGAAAATAAGATACGATTCTTGGCTTTTGACCCTTTGTGATTGTAAATTTCTTTGCCTTTTAACTTGGTGTAACTTCAAAAACTATAGAGCTGTAAGTTTACAGATAGCAAAGGAACCAGTCAAATGCAAATTTATTATATTATCTATGTCGTGGTTTAGGCACCTCTCCTGTGGTGAGGCTGCTTGAGAAGGACCCTCTCCAGGATCTGCTCTAGAAGGACTCTCGCCTTTGTCTGTTTTAAAAGGTCTCTTTCCTTGGTCTGGTCTTGAAGGACCCTCTCCTTGATCTGCTCTAGAAGGGCCTTCCCCTGGATCTTCCTCAGAACTCTCTCCCAAGCTATCTGGCTTGAGCTTCTCTTTTTCGTAAGGAGCAGGGGAAGGAGTTGACTTCTTCTTCTTCCTCCTGGTTACCGGGGCAGCTTGTACTGTGTTCGATGGAGTTTGAGTAGTTTGTGCCGGGACGGGCGGCGGAGGGGCCGGTGTTGTTGCAGTGGTGGGTGCGTCTGCCGGTGGTGCCGATGCCGCTGCAG